AAGGACTAAGGAAGAAAGAACAATACACACGTAAAGAAGCCTACAGTATCTAGCTACAAAAAACCTTAGTCAACTTTGTCAACAACCTTCGCGCTGTTTGTCGAAACTCTGATCTAAAGAATGAATAAACAATAGGATTAAGACTAGATTGAAAAAGCAAAAAAGTTATTGATAGCTTTACAAGTAACAGACCTCCTAACTCAACCTTGTTAAACAAACGCAACATTATATAAATCCCTCTTGGGAGCCAGCAAATGACRAACAGCGCGACTACAAGAACGCAAGAAAACGTTCCTCTCCGACGGTGCAGGATATCTGATTCATGCATGTGTTTGACATAGAAGGTTGTAGAAACTTCAGTTCTGTTGCAATGGACTCTCGGTTCTGTTCCTTGTATTTTTCGCAACTGGATTTTTATAGCGTGAATGATACGGATGTTGATAACACAGACGGTGATGATTGGGATGAGGACGAATGCGAAGAAAAGGATATAAGTGTATACAGTGTTTTTCCTCTCGGATTCCTCAGCGCTATCTATGTGCTGCCAGACGTTTCTAAGCCCTGCCAAGACACCAGGCAAAAGCCATRTTAAGATTAGGATTAAAGCCATTCTTTTTTCTGTCATTTGTAGATTGTAAAGTAAAGGACGGAATACCGCAAGATGGCGGTCGTAGCTTATAGCTAGAAGATTGAACACAGACGCAAGGAACGTGTAGTCTTTCCCGCCTTCAAAGAACCAGCAGAGTTTGCTCAGAGATACGGAACATCCAGTGCAGTATACACCGTAGCTCGGAATGACAATCAAAGCRAGCAGGATATCAGAAACAGCCAAGCTCAGAAGGAATACATTCATTTGACACCGATAAAACTGACCTCCGAATATGAACACCGCGATTGTGAAGGAATTTCCCGCCAAAATGCAGGCGCCAAAAAACGCGTCTACAACCCAGAAGATCTGATCCAAGCTGTTGTCACATTGTTCAGTGTTGTAATCACCGAGTAGGAAATCTTCTTGTAGAGGAATAGTTTGCATGCTTAGATTCAAGAGGTGAACTTTGGATGTATTCCAGCCTAAGTTCCAATGAAACGTAGTGGAATTCATTGTTCAGTCAATGTAAAATTTGAACCATATTTCTGTTTGAATATAATAACTCTTCTCTCCTCAATCTCGGATCCGTCGGTACGTACGTGATACGCTATCGCTTGGAGAACAAAAATTAAAAATCTCTATCTGAGCTGTGTAGCAGAGATATTATGTAAGCGCCCAATGATTAGATAACTGTTTTCTTCGGCGACTTTACATCTGCAAGAATATCACAATTAGAGCTAAGGTGAAGGAAAAAGAAAACACACATAGAGGATATTATACCTTAAACTACAAAAAGACGTTAGGCGGCAAAGTTTGTTTTTCTAAAAGTAAAATCACAAAYAGTAATTCTGTTTAGATGAAAAAATCGTCTCACCTAAATCATTTGAGGTTTGCTTCGGGCACTGACTAATCCAAGGAACTAAAACTTCTTTCACCTTAGACTGAGTTAATACACATATATACAACGGTAAAAGCCGGAACTTCGAACATTTGATGACTCAAAAGTTAAWCAAGACAAATAATTTTTCAAAGGAAACTAATCGGGCAGTTAGTTTAACAACCTAGAATATATTTCCATGCATTGTTTTTGTCGCGTAGTATTCTTAATTTGTTTAACTTGCAAAGAAAAATATACTTTTGCTTTTAATTTTGTACATATTTCGATTCCACAATTGCTTGACATTGGCCTACGATATTTAGGGCCATCAATGTAAAAAACAGCAAGTTTTTCTGACGTCAAAAGAGATATTTGTTGAGGAGTGAATTGGTTTAATGCTCTAGATATTGAATTTTGTTATTTTGATCCCGTCACGTTCTATGAGCGACATCATTAGTTTTACTAGTTTTTTTTTTTTTTTGAATTTATAGTTCCCTTTTGTCGGAAGTTTGTTATTTGTGGTAATAAGACGACTGCACGAACTCAAACTGTTTCTTATGAGGGAGTTTGTAAGGAAGAGTTTAGAGAAACTATCTATAATATAACTGGATAATCTGCTGTTTGATGAAACGCATTTTGAAGACTGTATATATCTGTGTGTGTGTAAATTGTGTGGGCTTTATCTCGCGGTGAATGTTGTGTGCTGTACGCTGTGTCAATAGAGAATGTGTGTATGTTATTACTATTTGTTTAGCTTGGAGAAGAAAAAAGTTAATTAAGGGAAATATCAGTGGGAATAAAGGAATGGAAAGTAATGAAACGCTAACGTAAATGGTGGGAAAGAGAAAAAAAAAGAAAAGAAAGAAGAAAAGGGACGAAATAGAATGGGAATTAAAAGGAACGGAAGAATGTTACATGATGCACATGACCAAAAAAGTAATAAAGAATGTAAAAMATTTTGTTAGAGAAATAAATGGGAGAAAAAGAATAAAAACAAAAATATATATAAAGCAAGGAAATTACGGAAGAAAAATTGCGCTTAGTAGWCATGGATAAGTACGCCTCAAGCCTTCATTATGTAGTGTGGCAGATTGCAGAGAGCAGATCGTTCTATTAAGTACTTTGTTTTGTGCGAGTCATAGTATTCAAAATTACCCTGGTCATGTCCGTGGTATGACCTTGACAATGGTTGGAACATCGATATATTTGGACTCGAAAGTCGATGCCGAACGAGTAATTATTGTTTGTTTTCTTTCCTTGATCGTTTTTGTGCAGAACAGATGGTTTGTTGGCTTGAATCAGAAACATGTGATCTGTTATTGACGATTGTATATTTTTTCTATATTTCTGTCTCCTTTCTTTCTTTTGCCCATATACAAAGACAAATACGAAAAACTACAGCATGTATTTCGTCAATATTGAGTCCAAGATCGAAATCTTTATAGAAAAACTTCACTAAAATGATATCCTAATGTTATTGAAATGTTTATCTGAAATATTACATTTTGGTGCTTGCTACCTCATGGTGCTCACTCAATAGCGCAGCGCAACCGTGACGTCATRAAAACGAAGACAAAGGCGAAATTCGGACAAACAAACTTACAAGTTTACTTTCAGCAGATAATTTTCACAGCCGATCGCAGTTGACTCTTAGTTTACATGGGATATGATTGTAACTTTAAGTAAAAATAATAAAATCGGTTCGTATAATCCTCGTAGCGGTTAAACAGAATGCAATGTTTGTCCGAATCTTTAAGCTATTTTCAGAATCAGTGCGCTGCGCTATTATCTCTACGCGATCGTCAATCAGCGATATATTTAAATGAGTTCCATGCTCATAAGCATAAACCGGATTTTTATTTATGTTTTCAGTAATTAAAAGTAATTAAAGTTAATATGATGACGTCATTGTAGCTTTATTGGATAGCAACAAATGTTTCCCTAAAATAGAGATCACGTGTTATTCCCTTGAGTATTATTTCTTTCTTCTCTGAGCTTTCCTTTTCTGGAGATTCAAATTACGCACGTACACACAGCTTTCTATAAACTTCCCCACTTCAATATTAATTTATGATTTCGATGATCCGTTTTTTTCGACCCAAACATCTGGATATATATGTTTTTAGGGTTTTCCTGAGCATGCACAGAAGCCCTGTCTCTCTTGGGCAGTAACTCAGTCCCCGAAGATTTGATTAGGTTGCAATTATAGAGACATGTGAATAATTGTCCAAGGTGTTAAAAAAGGTCTCTATCATTGCAAGCTCACCGTTCGTCTCGCTTCGATGCGAAGGTACAGCTACCTTTCAAGATGGCGCAGGGAACTGTGAAGGGGTCTATTGGCCCAAGGGATGATTTACAGTATGCCTTCTTAATAAATGTGACAAAAAAACTCGAAGTCAGGGTGTTGATGGTTCTAGTGTCCCCATTGTGAAGCTAGCGGTTTTTTATTTTATTCCCTGCGATCAGAATTCGCTAGACAAGTGTCAGTTTGTAAAATTCGACCTGCGTCTCTTGAATAGTTTCCTTAGAGCGAAACGAAAATCACTCCTATAATAAGAATATATGAAAGGATCAAGAGTGGACTGCACGAACAGGAACAGTAAAGACACTCTCATTAACAGAACGCTTTCCGGTTTACCAAACAGGAAATACAGGTTGAAGGCTATCCTCGGTAGCCAAGCAATCACGTAGGCGAGGACAACACGGAGACAAGAAACGGTTCCGTTTTTCTTCTGACTCCACTCTTGTTTAGTATGTGTAGAYAATCTGGATGGCTGCACGTTATTTTCAAGACGTTGTTGGAGGTTTTGGGATGAAGATATTAAGTATGTCTGCCTCTTTATAGCTATAATGATTCTGATATTCGTCACAACCATTATGCAAAGAGGAAAAAGAACAGTTAGAAATAAAAGTATATTATCGTAGATCTTATCGATGTGGATAGAGTTTAGAGATAAATTGAAATGCCACGCGTTGCGAATAGATGTCAAAATTATTGGAATTACCCAAATACACGCTAAAATARATTTGAGTCTGATCGGAGTCATTAGTACCGAGTACAAAAGCGGTTTTATAACCGCACAATAACGATCATAACAGATAGCAAGCATATTTAAGTTCGTAGCGATAAAAACATAGTCTTTAACGCCAACGAAGATCCAACAAAAGTTTGTCGTTTTCCATCCGTTGTAGCAAAAGATAGCGTAACCAGGGGCAACGCCGACCATCATCAAAATATCCGCAATCGCTAGACTAGCCAAAAAGACATTCATTTGTTTTTTCTTCAGCTTCTTGTCCTTGACGAAGACTATAAAAGCGATTGAATTCACTGGTAGATTAACGAGTCCAATTATTGCGGTTAGAGTCCAATATATCCGGCTCCAGATTTCATTCATCTTGCTTTCATTCACTTTCTGAATATCTTGAAATAATAAGACGCTTTCTTAAGTGATAACTTTGGATATTCAAAAGAGATAATGGGCAACAATCTTTAAACTCAGACTTCAAACAAGTATTTAAAAAGAGAGCTGAAATCCTTTAAGTTTTGCACATTTCCAAAGTTCCTCGTACGTAATAGAGCATAATCTTGAACTTCAAAGATTCATAACAAATTAACAGGTATTTTTGTCAGAATTCGCAGTAGTCGTGTCTAAAACTGTGAAGTGATCAACTATTCATCACAGGAGCAATAAACTAACAGGTATCTTTGGCTGTCTTATCCTAGATGTTTTATGTCAATACTTCGATAAAGCACTCCCAGAATTGCCAGTATAAGGAAGTATATTGATAATGTTCAGCCCAGGTTGCTTCAGGGAATGTCTCAAATCCTTCACTAAGTTGACAGAAGGTATTTATATAGCTGGTAAGATTTTATGGTCTCAGATTACCATTGTTATTCAAAGTWGGAGAAAATCGGAGAAAGCGCGCAGCTTGAGGAGCAGGATATATTACTAGTAATTAACGCTGAACACTTCAGGACGTACAAGGCTTTTAAATCTGTCAATCACATGTGCAGTAATTATAAACGTTAAGATTTATGGAGAGTTTTTTGGGAATTATCTATGGAGTTATTTGATTACATGATTTCAAGCGTTTGTAATGCCAACTCATACGAAAAATTAGAATATTTAGAAATTTAAGTCAAAGTAAAACAAGAAAATTATTATGTATCTATACAAAAAGGTATATATTGGCTACCATGTAAAGTGTTCTTCTACAGACCCTCGAAATAATACTAATTTACACCAGACGACTCGAACCTCTCTACAAATCACTATTAAGTAAAGGACTATTTTGTATTTATACGTGTTGTTAGGCCGAGTTTGGCTTCTAAAAGACTTCCGTTATAATTTACCGTTATGACTCGAAATGCAAGCACTATACAAAGTAAAGAAAAGTATTCTTTATTTACACCAAAAGAATTGTATTGGCTACGATAGGTAAACGTCAAGTTGGTTTAGCCTGGTTTTGGCTTAAAAAGGAATCTCTTTATGTACCGCGAAGACGCGAACTTCAATTCACTGTGCAGTATTCAGTATTTATAAGACAGCCTGTTTCAATCTTTAAAGTATAGACGCATAGCTGTTTACATACTACGTGAAAAGGAATCAACTTCCGCACTAAAAGCGCTTCTTCATGTATTTCATTAATCTTCATGATCACGTGTTCAATCTATCATGACTTCGAGCCGATCTGAGAAAAATAGTTAGCCAATCAGAATGGACAAAATTTGAAAAGCTTAGGTGTCAATTTTCGTTTTGAAATAATGGTTTACCAAACCAGCAAACGAAGGGAAAAAAACATCGCTATTAAGCGCTTGATAACAGTGACACAATATCTAATGACATACATCTTTTATTCCATTGACGGGCATGTTTTTATTTTTCGTTTGCCAACTTCCTGCAGGCTTCGTGACACCTCAGTTTTACAGCGACGTTATTTCTGAGTCACTATTTCAGATTAGCTGGTTAAACATTTAAGTAAATCTTGTAAAGTAATAGCTGTCATCGTAAATTCAGTTTCTAAAAACCATAACATTAAAGCCATTCTCAATCACACGCGCCGCTCTAGCGATCGTGACAAAGAAGCTTTTGGTGGACGTCAATCAAGGCGTTTCCATGACATTCTCTAGGCACGTGCCCTTAAAGCTTTCTGTTTGTGACGTCCACCAAAACCTTCTCCATCGCGACAGAAACAATCGATAGAAGGAGCGTGTGATTGAGAATGGCTGTAGCTATTACAGGAAGTTTTGCTTTTAATGCTCAAGTTAAGCGTTCGAGCGAATTAAGCTGCCGATTAATATGGTTATTCCTGGCTCTTTTAAATTCTACTAACGTCAGAGGAAATAGCTAAAGAATATTTCATGTAGCTGAATTTTTGTTCATAAAATATTAAATGACAGCTCAGTATTGTGGGGTTTTTCTACCTTATTTTGTGACTCGACGCACGCTTTAACTGCACGTCATAGCTCGCTCGAGTTGAACTTTTCCATACACGCCTTTCATAACTGGCGGCTGCTAATTTGCATGAGTTGAAAATTAATGCTTTTGAAGTAAAAACACTTTCAAATTATAGAGCTCGTTAATGTAGATAACATATGTGAGTTTCTATAATAAAAGTAATAAATTCTTGAGAAGATATGAGCATTCGAAGCTTTGAAAATGCATAAAAAAGAGGTCACAAAGGCCTCCAAAGATAAACACTGAATTCCAGAACCCTATTTTTGGTTTTTCATGAACTACTTTTGTATTCATTCAAATTTAACCATTTTTGTTTTGGAAATAGTTTTCATGAATAGAAGTACTTTCTCAAATAGTTAGAAAATTGAAAGTTTCTGGTAAAAAGGCCTTATTTTTTCSATCAGAAAAAACTGACTTTATGAAAGTCGTGTATTCTTCGAGAGAGATAGGAATCAGTAGAGAGCAGAGTTTGCTGGATTTTTCCCGTGATTCGGAGGTTGTTCTCCGAATTCACAGGTTTTCCAGTAGCAAAACTTGCTAAATAATTTTTTGGCCGTTCTTGTTTCTATCGGCGCCAAAACTGTAGCGAGTTAACAAACCCTTTTGCAGCTCTCCTGAATTCTCTTCTGTACATGGTGTAAATAAATGGATTGACAGAAGACTGCACTATTAGGAAGAATATCGTTATCTTGCGGAACACAGGATTGATTTTTTGGTTTCTGTTTGCAAGTGACCATACATTGTTAAAGGCTCGTGGAAACCAGCAAAGAATGAAGATTAGAACAACGACGATACAAGATATGGTTCCTTTGCGTCTTTTTGTGTGTTTTTCCATCACCTCTTTTTCTTTTACGACGGTGCTTGCGTTCTCTGATACAATCTCGCTCTTTACTACGTGAATACGGCAGTTCTGTCGCTGTAAAGCCCTCGTTAGCATTGTATTTACGACCACGAGGATAATAATCGGCAAAATAACGAACGCAACGACTAAGAACGTATTGTATATTTTGATAATATCATCGATTCGACTTGTACTCCAAAAGTAATGGAGAAGAGAGCGAGTTATTATCATTACTATAGGAATTCCCCAAGCGGAGCTGAGGATAATCCCAACTCGTAGCGAGTTCATGTGAGAATGATAGTGCAGAGGTCTGAAAACAGCCATATAGCGGTCGTAAGAAATAGCCAGGAGATTGAACGTTACACCTGCCAGAGGCAAGTCTTTCGCAGAGCTGAGAATATGGCAGTATTTAGATAAAGCGTACTCACAACTTTCACAAAAACTAGCGTACCCAGGTACGAATATCAATCCTATTAAGAAGTCAGCCACTGCTAAGCTCAGTAGGAATACGTTCATGACGTTATGTCGTAGTATTGGAGAGGAAATAATGACAATACATGTGAGAAAATTTCCCGCCAAAACCACTAAGCCAGCCGCGCCATCCAAGACCCAGAAAATAAAATCGAGATGCTTGTCACAAGGAATGAAGATTTTTGATTCGTTGGAACTCACGTTCGTCATTTCGTTATCCTTCGTTTTTCCTGTTCCTGGTGGAAGAAATGTCGGTAGCTCTTCTTAGATTTTGAAACTCTTTTTGAAGTTGAGGATTACTGGAGAGTTAAATTCTCAGTTAATAATTGCAAGTTTGTTAGTAACTCAAAAAGAAAAATTTCTAGAACATTTGCATCGAGACAGCATTTCACCTTATATCTGCTACCATCCTATTCCTGTTGCGTTTCCATCTCTTTTAACCTTGAAATCATGTGTTCCACAAATTCATGGAAAGTTATGCGGTCGATACACCATTCCCATATAGCAAATACTCCACGCGAAAATCAATTTCTAGCTACTTCACAAACCCATTTAATAAAAAAACTGAAATATGTAAGATGCTCGAGGTGTGAAAATACTTGATTTTGTCAACAAACTTTGTTATCATAAAATACTACATAGCTGAATTTTTGACACATTTGCTCATTTTCCCATCTGATTATAAAATTACCAATCCAAAATCTCCGAAATTATTTTTCACATTCTATTTTTTTACGAGTAATTAGTGTATCGAATTTTTAAAAATTTAGATATTGCCTTGAACTAGCTTAAAGTCTGTATAAACCGCCTTATTCGCCTCTAAAGTTATCAGTTTTAATACAACAAATATTTTCGGATATTTCAGTTCATACTACTGTTTACTTCCTTGGGTCAACTTTTGCAATGAATTCAAAATTTTAAGTACGTCGACSTTTCAATCTTCAGATATTCTTTGTCAAAAGGTGGGATTTTGGTAAACATAAAGGAAAAAAGACGTCAGAAACTTCGCCAGATGGCTGAATTACAAAATTAAAGTAATAATCTTAGGACTAAAGCTTGTCAGAAAAAAATGGTATACAAACAGAAAGGAATTGATGAGAGAGAATGTAGAGAGAGTTGGTTAAGACTGTTTTTTTTATGTAGCTTTATGTTGGTTTTATTGTATAAGTAAAATTTTCTCTTTCTTTCTTCTTTCCTTCCTTCCTTTTTTACCGTTTCTTTTGATTTTAAAGTTGTTTTTTTTTAGCAAAATCGTGCTAAAAATATTTAATTAAAGGTACTACGGTTACATGAAGCAAAATTCGTAAGAAAACATATACTATGATATCGAGTATCCTAGCTATCTTTTGATCTCAGCCAATCAAAATCTATACGCAGGAAAATGTACATCATCCAATCAAAAGGATTACATTGGGAAACCATTTGAGTGTAGTCTACAGAAAGAACGTTTAAATGGCTTCCTCTCTCAACTAATCAAAAAGTCCAAGGATTTGGAAGTTCACAAGATGCACAGGTGAAAAAACACATAAATGGCTTCCGCTTTAAGCCAATCAGAATGCGCAAAAATGCACACCATGCATTCACCGACAAATCTTAGGTTGGGATGCCATTTCGAAGCTACTTGGGTGCATACGCTTAAATGGCTTGCTATGTTTTGAACCAATAAACGCGGTACACATAGAAATGTTTTGTGATTTTAGCCGGCAAGGTGTGAGTTATTTTCGATCATCCTGAGATATCTGTTAATTAGGAATAACATTGCAAGTATTTGTTTTTGGGGAAAAAATAAGTAAATATATTAAAATAAAGATAGTCAGGTGTTCATGTGTGGAAAAAAAATTACGGAATAAGAATAACTAATAAACAGGAGATAAAAACAAGAACAAAGAAAAAAGGTAGGGAAAAAGAAAGAGAAGGATGATAACAGAGAAGGAAGGAAGAAGGGAAGGAAGGAAGGAAGGAAGGAAGGAAGAAAGATAGAATTTTACAAGAAAAAAAAAAAAAAAAAAAAAAAAAAAAAAAAACACGCCAGTACATGAAAAAGGCAACGAGAAACTCTACTGACATGCGACGCTGAGTGCCGGAATCGAACCCGGCTGCCACAACTATTTTTCGTTATTTTACCTATGTTTTAAAAAAAATCTTAAGTTTTGACTTCTAGTAGGTGCTTAACCGTTATATAATCAAATCACAAGTGTTGTCGTCCCGTTCCGAAGTCCCACGTGACGTGGGATAAGAAATGTAGTGAAGTGTGCGGCGTATCGGTAAAGTTATTTTTATCAATACTTGGGCTTCCTGTGTCCACAAGAATCCCGTGAGTTAGAATAACCGATAGTTTAAATGAAATGTTAGATCTTAACAATTTTATTTGAATACTGAAAAATTTATACTGTTAGATTAGTGGCTTTTAAAAAATGAAAGAATAAGAGAAGAGAGAGAAGAAAAACAGGCAAAGCAACC